TCCCTCTCCCAGGATCCCTCTCCAGGTCCCTCTCCCAAGATCCCTCTCCCAGGATCCCTCTCCAGGTCCCTCTCCCAGGATCCCTCTCCCAGGATCCCTCCCCTGGAGTCCCTCCCCTGGAGTTCCTCTCCAGGATCCCTCTCCCAGGATCCCTCTCCAGGTCCCTCTCCCAGAACCCCTCCCCTGGAGTCCCTCTCCCAGGATCCCTCTCCCAGGATCCCTCTCCGGGTCCCTCTCCCGGGGGTCCCGGGCTCCCTGTGCCCTCCCTCACGCCCGTCCTTGCCTTGCAGCCGCTGGAGCTGCTGTGTGAGAAGTCCATCGGGACGGCGAACCGGCCCATGGGCGCGGGCGAGGCGCTGCGCCGGGTGCTGGAGTGCCTGGCCTCGGGCATCGTCATGCCAGGTGAGCCGCCCCGACCTGCCGTTCCCGCCGGGAAGCGGCGCCGGGAGGAGCGCGGGGGGTGACGCGGTGACCGGGCAGCCCCTCGTGGTCCGGCCCGGCTCCGGCCACACCGGGAACCGTCCCCGCCCTCGGGACGCCGGCTCAGAGCCACCTCAGCCCCGTAGAGAGAGGGAGGGACCGCTCGGCTCCCGGAGAGGTCGGGAGCAGCTTCCCGCAGAGTGTCCGTGGAAACGAGCCCGGGCAGTCCCAGAGCGCCGGGCGAGCGCCGGATCGCGGCCGGCCCGCGCTCTCGGAGCGTCGTTGCCGCCCCAGGGACTTTAGTTCAGTTGCTTTAGAGAGACCCGGGATAATTCTCTGCATATCTTCCTTGTTTCCTGCCTTCAGATGGTTCTGGTATTTATGACCCTTGTGAAAAAGAAGCCACTGATGCTATTGGGCATCTAGACAGACAACAAAGGGAAGATATCACACAGAGTGCTCAGGTATAGTGTGACCTCCAGACCTTGCGGAATTCCCCGGCTCGCCCGCCGCTCCCGGCCCCGTTGGCCAACGTAGACTAGTGCCCTGTGGCCGCCGGTGGCCGAGCCCGGGCCGCCCGCACGGGCCCCACGGGGCGCGGAGCTTGGCCCGAACCAGAGCAAAGAATCAGGTGTTGAGGAGTGACTCGCCCCCCCTCCCCCGGCCCCAGCCCCCATTTTTGGGTTAAACCCCCCAGAAAACGGTGAATCCAGAGAGTCCCGCGAAGGGCTGAGGATCGGTGTGAGGGCGGGCGGGGGCTGCGGGCAGCGGGTCCCCCGCGGCCCCCTCGCTGACACCCCCTCCTCTCCCCAGCACGCGCTGCGGCTCGCCGCCTTCGGCCAGCTCCACAAGGTCCTGGGCATGGACCCCCTGCCCTCCAAAATGCCCAAGAAGCCAAAGAACGAGAACCCGGTCGATTATACTGGTACGTACTGGGAGGGGAGGGAGCGGCCCCCGACCTCCCTCCCGGCTCGGGGTGGGGAGCAGAGAGTTGAGGGGCTGCTTGTGCTGGTCCCCCACAGTCCAGATCCCGCCCAGCACCACCTACGCCGTGACCCCCATGAAGAGGCCGATGGAGGAGGACGGGGAGGAGAAATCCCCCAGCAAGAAGAAGAAGAAGATTCAGAAAAAAGGTATTGAGTTAACGAGAGGTAGGTACAGAGGGGTGGGAGTGGGGGCACAGGGAATGGGGGCATGGATGGGGGGGAATGGGGGCACGGGGAATGGGGGGACGGGGGGGGGGGGGAGGGTGGGGGGGCAGGGGGGGGAGGGGGGGGGGGGGGGGGGGAGAGAGGGGGGGGAATGGGGGCACAGGCAGGTGGGCTCAGGGATGCAGGACTTTGGGCATTTCAGGGCTCTAAATAGGGGTGAGGGGGTTGATAAAAGAACTTGAAACTGGGAGGTTTGTGCTGGGTAAAACTGAGACCAAGGAGGAGATCAGAAATTGTCTGGAATTGGAAAATACCACCAGGAACGGGTCTGGGATCAGGAAATACTGATCAGGGCTGGTCTGAAGTGGGAAAATATGGGTCAGGAGTGGTCTGGAATTGGAAAAGACCAATGGGAACGGGTCTGGAATGGGAACAGACCCATCAGAACTGGTCTGGAATGGGAAGAGACCAATAGGAATTGGTCTGGAATGGGAAAAGACCAATGGGAACTGGTCTGGAATGGGAA